GGGTCCATTAGCCCGCAGGAACTGCATGCTTACTCACTCTGCACTCTGTTTCCCAGACTCCTCCCCTCCCCCCCATCTCATTCACTCTCATGACTGTCACCTTCACAGCCAGATGGACTCTGACCCCACACTCAAATTCAGCGTCAGCTCTCTCGCATGTCCTGTTATAACCCTAAACCGTGTCCCCAACTCACCTCTCACCTGTCTCTCCTCCTTTCTCCATTCTGCGCAAATTCAAAGCTTTCTGATCATTGTTATACTTTTGTCTCCTTTCCTCAGTAGTTAACCATTGACAACATCTGGGTAAGTTTGGCATAAAAGTAGGTTTTATAGCCTCACCTTGATCTTTCCATTGCCAATAGGCAAACTCTCACCCCAAGCATGAATGTTGAAATAGCTTTGTAACTGGATGCACCCTTCCTGGTCTGTCTTTATCCAGTACCACCTCAGTGTCACCTTCAGATTCCAGTTTCTATAATTCTGCTTTTGTTTTGATATTATTTTTATGCCAGTGGCTCTCTACTGCCTCTGGAATCAAGACTCATTTTTCAATTAAGCATCTGAGCATCTTTGTAGTCTGATTCCAACTTGTTTTTCAAAATGCATCCTTAACTCCGTAGCATTAATTCTCATTTCTCTCCACTTCCTGGAAGGCTCTTTCCTTGTGTCTCCTTTCCCCTTTCAAGTATTCCCCAACTTTTGAGGCTACCTTCAATTCAGGTCTTATTTTCTTTATGGTGGAAGCCTCCCTTTTTCTTAGCCACTTCTTGCCGCATTGGATGCGCATCGTTGTGTGTATGTATAATACTTAATAAGGAGCTCTGTTAGTGTAGTGGTTACGAATTGGGCTGCTAACCTCAAGGTCAGCAGTTCGAAACTGCCAGCTGTTCTGTGGGAGAAAGATGAAGTGTTCTGCTCCCATAAAGATTTACAGCCTCAGAAACCCTGTGTAGGGTCACTGTGAGTCGGAAACGACTCTGCGGCACATCACAACAACAACATAATACAAGGTCAGTATGGAAATTTGCTTGTCAGTACATCCAGTTATTAAGCAGTCATGATCAATTTCTACTTTGTGCCTAGGTAGGTGCTGAGCATTCCCATCACCAGTGAGGATCAACACAGTTTGATTGCATGTTTGATCAATTTCAAATTGAAGAACTTGGTAGAATTCTTCTATTTCATTCTCACTGGCTTTAGTGGTTGGTGTGTAAATTTGAATAATAGTGGTATTAACTGGGCTTTCATGTAGGTGCATGGATATTATCCAATCACAGACAGCATTGTACCTCATGACTGATCTGGATATGTTCTTTTTGACAATGAATGGAACACCATTCCTCTTCAATTTGTAATTTCCAGCATAGTAAACCATGTAGTTGTCAGATTCAAATGGCCAATACCAGTCCATGTCAGCTCGCTAATGCCTAAGATAATCAATGTTTATTCATTCCATTTCATTTTTGACAACTTCTAATTTTCCCAGATTCATACTTTGTACATTCCATGTTCCAATTTTCAGTGGATGTTTATAGCTGTTTCTCTTCATTTTGAGTTGTGCCCCATCAGCAAATGAAGGTCCTGAGGGCTTTACTCCCACGAGCTTTATTCCATTCGCGTCATCACAGTCAACTCTACTTTGAGGAGGCAGCTCTTCCCCAGTCGCATTTTGAGTGCCTTCCAACCTGAGGGGCTCATTTTCTGGCACTATATCTGACAGTGTTTCTCTGCTAGTCATATTTCAGTGACTAAATATTTGGAAGTAGTTCGTCACTCTTTCTTCCTACTCTGTCTTTGTCTGAACCTGTCCACCATGGGTGACCCTGCTGGTATTTACATTACCGGTGGCATAACTTCCAGAATCACAGCAACTCACAAGCCACCACAGTATGACAAACTGACAGACAAGCAGAGAATATCAGAAAGATGTTTATCTGTGTTTTATTGAGTACACGAAAGCTTTTGATTGTGTGGATCATGACAAGCTATGGACAACATTGCAAAGTATGAGTATCCCTGAACACTTAGTTGTGCGTGTGAGGAATCTGTACACAGACCAAGAGGCAGTTGTTCGAACAGAACATGGGAACATTGAATGGTTTAAAATTTAAAAATATGTGCAACAAGGTTGTATTCTTTCACCATACTTATTCAACCTGTATGCTGAGCAAATAATCCGAGCAGCTGGGTTCTACGAAGAAAAACATGGCATCAGGATTGGAGGAAGACTCATTAACAATCTGCGCTATGCAGATGATACAACCTTGCTTGCTGAAAGTGAAGAGGACTTAAAAGAGCATAGGCTTCAGTATGGATTACATCTCAATGTCAAGAAAACAAAAATCCTCACCACTGGACCAATAACAACATTCTTATCAAGGGAGAAAAGATTGAAGTTGTCAAGGACTTCATTCTTTTTGGATCTACTGTCAACACTCACAGAAGCAGCAGTCAAGAAATCAGATGATGTATTGCATTAGGCAAATCTGCTGCATAAGACCTTTTTAAAGTGTTGAAGAGCCAAGATTTCAGCTTGAGGACTAAGGTGCGCCTGACCCAAGCCATCATATTTTCAATAACTTCATATGCATGCGAAAGCTGGACAGTGAATCAGGAAGACCGTAGAAGAATTGATGGTTTTGAGTTATGGTGTTGGAGGGGAATATTGAAAGTGCCATGGGTTGCCAAAAGAACAAACAGATCCATTTTGGAAGAAGTGTAGACAGAGTGCTCCTTGGCGACCAGGATGGCCAAACTTTGTCTCTCATACTTGGACATATTGTCAGGAGGGACCAGTTGCTTGAGAAGGACATCATGTTTGGTAAGGTGGAGGGTCAGAGAAAAAGAGGATGACCCGCAGTGAGATGGATTAGCAAAGTGGCAACATCAGTGGGCTCAAGTGTGGCAACAATTGTGAGGTTGGCCCAGAATAGGGCAGTGTTTCATTCTGCTGTGCATAAGGTTGCTATGAGTCGGTACCAACTCGATGGCGCCTAACAACAACAACAATAAGGTGCTGAACCTCATAGAATAGTTAGGATTTGGTTCCTGTAAGGAGGTAAACACATACAGCTTTGAGCACCATGATGAGACTTTTAAAAGCATCGTGAACACACCCAGGGCAGCAGCTCACGAGGTCTCTCCCACAGTGAGAATGCGACTTGGAAACTAAGGTTTAAGGCAAGAGTAGAGGTTTTGGGGAAGAGCAGGAGATCAAGACATTCTGCTGGAGTGAGCCAAGAATGAAGAGGAGCGAGAGGTGGCTTGGTGAGCAGGGAGCGAGTGGGAAGTGCTGGGTGCTGGAGAGAGGGGTGGATTGTATGAAGCTGAGAGATGGTTAGGCTTTGTTGATAGGAAAATAACTTTGTCAGTATTATTGCTGATTGCTAGCAAGTTGGTTTTTGATCCACTCTTAGCAACCCAATGTGACAGAGTAGAGCTGCCCCATAAGGTTTCCTAAGGGAGCCGATTGCTGGGTTTGAGCGGGTTCAAACCCCTGACCTTTTGATTAGTAGATTCACCATCTTGCCACCAGGGTTCTTTTTGCCCATATTACTTTTGTGTGTTTGTGTACTTTTGTTGTGTAAAGTGCCATCGTGACAGTTCCGACTCCTGGCTTCTTGGAAAAGAGGAAATTGTTGAGGGGGGGCAGTAGAAGGAAATGGCATAGATTATTGTGATAATAACATATTATGCTTCATGTCATCGAGTTGGTTCCGACTCATAGTAACCTGTGTTGACTTTCCAAGGCTGTAAATCTTTATGGGGAGCAGAAAGCTTCATCTTTCTCCTGTGGAGTGACTGGTAGATTTGAACTGCTGACCTTGTGGTTTGCAGCTCAACTCATAACTCACTACACTACCACGGATCCTTGGAACAAGCAGTAGAAATTGAGAAAAGACTATGCTGTGTGTTCCTATGTTGGTGTGAGTATGTTTCATCTCCTAAGCCACAGTGTAAACTTGAGGGCCCCAGTGTTTTAACTATTTATCTTTATAATGCCCACAATACTTAGCATGTTGCCGTGTCTGTTAAAGGTAATTAATGGATATGGTAATAACATGGCTGATGCACTGTTTATCTTCCCATTAGACGCCACATGTGTACAAAGTTGTACCTCGCACATAGTAGACACTGAATAATAAATACATTGAACACAGCTGCATTTAGATTCCATTTATTAGATGGAAAAAAATAAAATATGCAACAGCATGCAAAAATATGCAAAAGAATAAAATATGCAAACAAATTAGCATGTCTCAAGTAGTTCAAGGTGACATTATGTGACTGAATGAACCAAAGTCTCACTGGGCTTGATTTCTGTGAGAGAAAGAAAGCCTGAATATTTTTATCCTTGTGAGGTTCAGGAAAATGTTCATCATGAAGGGTTGTTAATGTTAAGTGCCATTGAGTTGGTTGTGACGCATAGCGATCCTGTATAGGTTTTCCAGGGTGTAACTGGTGAGTTTGAATTGCCGACCTTGTGATGCAGACCATCCAGTGCTTTATCCCATGTGCCACACCAGGACTCCTGAAGAGTTGTTGTTGTTAAGTGCTATTGAGTTGGTTCCAACCCATAGTGACCCTCAACAGGGTTTCCGAGGCTGTAAACCTATACGGGAGCAAAAAGTCTCATCTTTCTCCCGCGGAGCGGCTGGTAGTTTTGAACTACTGATTTTGCGGTTCACAGCCCGATTCGTAAGCACTACGTCGGACAAATGTTGCTTTAAATAAACAAAACAAACAGAAAACAAATCCATTGCCCTTGAGTTGAGTGTGGCCCATCCCATAGGGCAGAGTAGAACTGCCCCATAGGGGAATATTTACCGAAGAGCACTGCCATGTCTTTCTTCCGCAGAACAGCTGGTGGGTTCAGACCTCCTACCTTTTGGTTAGCAGCTGAGCGTTTAACCTCTGTGTCATCATAACTCATGAAGTGTTGCTTAGGTTGTCTCAGCGATCCCCTCTTCTAATCTATTTTCTTTCTCTCTCCTTCCTCCAGATATCACATAAGCTACTTTAATCATGGGAGAAATAGAGCAAAGGCCGACTCCAGGATCGCGACTGGGAGCCCCAGAGAATTCGGGGATCAGTACCTTGGAGCATGGTCAGAAGCCACCTCCAACACCTTCAGGGAAACTCATGTCTGTCAAAATCCAGATGCTGGATGACACCCAGGAGGCATTTGAAGTTCCAGTAAGTGGGGGATGTATCTATGACCTCCCGTGTGGGGGCCGCCCGTGCTTTGGACAGCTCACTGTCTTTCTTGTGTGTCATCTTCAGTTCACTCCTCAATATACTCTTAATCCATTCTGCTCCTGGTCTATCTGACAGTGAGATTTAGGTATGAAATGCCTATAATATCTGTACCATGTGACTTGAATCTTACTATGGCTTAACATACACAAATTTCTATGAACATGTGTATAAAGAAAGGTATTTTATGTATATTTATATTAGGGGCGAAAATGGCCTTGTGAATGGATCCTGGTTTAATTTGCTTTATCACCGTGCATTTCTCTTTCACATCGATGAGTGCACGCACGCACATCCCACTTCTCTAGGTGACTGGCAAGAAAATCCCCAAGAAAACCATCAAAGAGCTGAATGCGTGTTTTATTATTGGAAGCATAGGAGAGAAATTGAGACCATGTTCTCAGCCTCTGTGGATGGGGCTGGAGGGTGTTAAAAAAAAAACCTGATCAGAGTCCACAGTGTGATAAGCTTGGGAATGAAGAGTCCGCCGTCTTGGACTAGGGACAAAAACCAGGGATGCCAGGGATCTGGGCCAGAGGGGAATGAACCTATAGCCCAGGCCTCTGTATCTCCAACTCGCTCGCCAGTTGGAGCCCTTTTCCTTGGCCCCCACTGCCTTTCCCCCCCCCTCTTTTCATAGTTCTTCTTTCCTCAGAGTCCCTGCTTCCTCACCCCACTCTCCTATCCTCTTCCCAACCCACTCCTTAAATAGAGCTCCAGAAGAAATTAAGGAAACATTCAAATTGAGGATTTCTTTTTCCCAAGGCAAGAGAGTAAGAAATTCGTGCCTGACTCTAGAATTATGATTGCGTTTCATTCAAAAAAAAAGAACTCATTCTCGCTTACATTGGTTAAGGTCTGAAGAATTTTTGATATACTTTAGATCTAATTTTTTGTCGTCTGTCTTGGGTACCAATGCACCCTTCCTAATATTGTTTGTGGAGGAAGTTAATAACCCGCGAATTCCAAACAGCCAACTTATAAACAGACTTTGGGAACATAACCCATTTTTAAAGAGGAGACTGTCAGCCTGTTATTCCTGTTAGCTAGAAGGACTGAAATTTAATAGTCAGCATTAGTGTCTGTTACCCATCATTCAGTCATTTACGAGGTATGATTCAGTAAATTATATTTATTTCACAGAACACCATTCTGAAAGTGTGAATCCACATTAAATGTCTTGGGGAAAGAGAAACCTCAGAACAGCTGTACTTAAAACTGCCCATTTATTGCACATAACAGACAACCTTTGTGCCTTACTAATTTTCTTGTTATGGAATTCATATCTTTCAAGGCCATGGGAACGTCTTTATATACTGATGAACAAAGCCATTGCTAGTCTCCTGGCACTGTAAAATACATTGCAGAGAACACCTGCTATCTAGTTGTAATTAGACTTTTGGAACTTGTTTCCTCCTCCCACCCCTTCCCCATATATATATTTTTTCCTCCTATGTTGCCAGACTGGTTTAGTGAGGTATTTAGTTTCAGTATTTCCTACTTGATACTGTTGAGGGCTTCTGAGCTGAAGTCTCTGACAGCACAGCCTGTTAAATGGCATTCCCCTCTGTGGTTTGGACAGAGGAACGACGATCAAAGGCTCTGACAACAGGGAACATTGCACTCTGTTTAACTGCTCCTCTCTAGTTTCTGTAAGCTCACGAATGTCGAGACTGTTCCTAGCAAGTGTATAGGACCTCCCTAGGAACTAGTAGCAAAATGGTTTGCATCTTTTAAGATGACTTTACTCAATCGTTTCTCATTTCTTTCCTTTGCATTTGAAGCTCTTCTGTCTGGTAGGACCTTTCCTCACGCCCGTGATGAGCACCTGGCCAGTAACCAGCCACCAGTTGCCATTCAGCCAGTTCTGACTCATGCCAACCCCATGTGTGTCAGAGAATTGAGCCTCCATGAGCTTCTCAAGGGCTGATTTTGGGGGGAAGTAGATCACCAGACCTTTCTTTGGAGGTGCCTCTGAGTGGACTCTTGTCTCCATTAGCCGTTGGGTGCCTGACCATTGGTACCACCCAGGACTCCAATAAATGCCTAACCCGCTGCCGGGGCATCATTTCCGTCTCACAGTAACTCCATAGGACAGAGTTGAACTGCCCTGTAGGGTTTATGGAAGCAGATTACCACATCTTTCTCCCGTGGATCAGCTGATGGATTTGAACCACCCACCATGTAGTTCACCGCCATGTGCTTTAACCACGGCACCACCAGGGTCTAGGAATAAATGCCTAGATACCCATGAAGGCCCACTCAACTGCCAGTTTTTTACCTGGGCACTGAGTCTCCCCTTTCATTTACTGTCAGGGTAGAGCCAGACTGCCTGGGTTCAAATCCTGGCTTCTCCTACTGATTTGTTCACCCTAAATAAGATACTTACGGTCTCTGCATCTGTTTACTCATCTGTAAAATGAGAATAATAAAAGTTGATGCGCATCAAACATTTGAAACATCTAAGAGTTTCAGACTTGCCTCGTGATCAGTCATCCCAGGCGGTTTCAAAAAGTTCAAGGGAAAATGCTATTCTCTTTTATTCCGTGTCTCTACAAACTTGTTGAAACCCCTTCATATTGATTGCTGTGTGTCCCCCACTATGCTGCTGCTGACTTCTCTGGGTGGGGACCTTGCCTTATTGTCTCTGTGTTCCCAGCACCTAGCGCAGTGCCTGGTGTGTGGTGGTGGTGGTGGTGTGCCATGGAGTTGGTTTCAACTCAACGACTCTATGTAGGGTTTCCAAGGCTGTAAAATTTTAGGGGAGGATAAAGACTCATCTTTCTCTCACTGAGCAGCTAGTGGATTCGAACTGCTGACCTTGTGGTGAGTAGCCCAGCTTGCAATTGCACTACCCGGGCTCCTTTGGTATAAAGTAGGTGTGTATTAAATGTTTGCAGGTAACTGAATGAGTTTATTTTACAAGTTGAATCACAACTAGAACTAATGTCATGGTTATTTTTCACAGGCCTCATTCATTGATATTTTTATTGCTTGGTTAGAATGTTCTTTCTCAACCAATGGGCAACAGATGTTCTCCTTTAACTGGCTTTAGAAGCCAGATATCAGCATTTTTATGGATGGACCTGGTTTTATATTGCTACCTCCTGCTTTTTAAGAGCAGAAACAGCCTGGCCTTGTCACACAGCTGGAAGACATCAGAGCTGACCGTTGGACTCAGTCACGGCACCGGGGATTTGCAGAGTGGCTGCACCATTTCAGCCTCCCATAATTGCTTTAAAGCCTTGCTCCACATTTTTTCACTGTTAATTCATCAAGGCCGAGCGTCTGACCCTGTCCTCCTCACCCACACATACGCCTGCTTTTGGTTGGACACCACCAGTTAACGAATTCCCGTTGCTCACTCGCTTTTGCCACGCAGATGAGCCAGGCACGAGGCCAAAAGTTGCTGCAGTTGTCCTGAAGCAAGTTCTTCTGTGAATTGTGTCTCTCCCTAGGGATTGGACTTCCTGGGCCTTTTTTTTTTCTTCTGTTTGTTTGGTTTTACAGTCTGGATGTAGGCACACTAGTTATTTTAAGTGCAAGTTCCTTAGGCACTTATTGGCACACATACCCGGACTATAAAAGGGGGCTTCAGAAGTTTGTGGAGGAATGGAATTGAGAGACAACGGGATTTTCCCACAAACTTTTTGAAGCCCCCTCATACTCTAAGTTGATTCCTATCATTTCTTGCATCCTTTTTTCTTTAAAAAACTATTTTATTTTGGGGAGAGTTTAACCTTTTAAAAAGGCGTGGGCAGTGAGCACCATGGGATTTTCCATTCTGTAGTTAGTTCCACAACCCCACCTTTGCTGCTGACTTGTCCGGTAAAGTTGGCCACTTTTTTTTAGTTTTTCACTGCAGATTGGAAAGCTCAAACATCATATTCACAACAATTCCTTTCACAATTTTTCATCATCTTTCTGTGGAAAATGATTTATCAATAAGTCTCACTCACACATATGCCTACATGTAGCCTTCTGTTCCAACCTGAGATGATAAAAGCAGTGGCTTCTGGGACTCTGAAGGAGTTAACAGCACTTTTCCTCCCACCGGGGCCATCACCCCTTATGGTTCCTGAGAAGGTTTTATGTCTCCCATCCACATGACCCCTCTGGTAAACAAACATGGTTTATGGTGACGTTCATGGGATGAAACAGATGGTGTCTTCTCCAAGTGTTTATACAGTTTCTGTATTTTCATTAGCCATGTCAAGATAGAGACGAGGGGAGGAAAGCTGAGGAAATCTAAGGTAGCCATTTTTTTGCTGCTTTTGAGCAGACCTGGTAAAACACCTGGGAAAGATGCTCACAGGTGGCAGGGAGGCACCTGATATCTGTGAACAAGTCATAGGAGGGGCCCAGGCAGGCAGCTGGCTGGCTGGTGGCTGAAGCCAGGAAGTTCTTGGGAAGCAGCGGCACAGAATTGTCTTTAACAGAAAAAGAACCTCAACATCAGTGATGGTCTTCCAAGAATAGAATGATGTAGTTTTCCATATTTGAATCTTGTCAGTGCTCTATACCTCTCAACTGTCTGAAGATAAAGTACGGATTCCTTACTTTGGAGTTCTGGTGTGGTGCAGGAGGGTCAGCACTGGACTGCAAGGTTGGTTTGAACCACAAAGTTGGCGGTTCAAACTCACTGGCCACTCCTCCAAAACCTTATACAGAGTTGCTATGAGTCGGAACCAACTCAACCGCATTTAACAACAACAAAGTATGGATTTCTTTCTTTGGGCAGGCTACAGGGAAGCCAAGAGCATTCAGCAAACCCATCCACAGCTATGATGCTTGAACAATTTCCATAGTTATTCTCTGCCATCAAGCAAGTTGCTGTGGAGTGGATTTCAACTCATGGCAACCATCTGTGTGGCAGAGTAGAACTGCTTCACACGGTTTTCAGTGGCTGGTTTTTGGAATGTGATCACCAAACCTTTATT